AGCCAAAAATACGCCATTGTTGTGTTAAGCCATTGAGATACTTAGGTAGTTTGTTACAATAGCAGAGTCTAGCCTATTCTGAGTGACCTAAAGACATTAATTATAGTTTTATCCATCCATCCAACCTTTCCCAAGGTTTTTCCTTGGGAAAAAACCCTTCTCCCGCTTATAGGAAGATTTTTTGATATTGCCAAATCCAGTGTTCGTTCACTTCTCTGTTCTTATCTTTTGACTTCTCAGCAGCATTTGTCACAATTGACCACTCCCCCCTAGAAACATTTGATCTTGCTGTCTGTGACATCATGCCTGGTTGGGTTTTTGTCCTATGTCACTGACCCCTACTTCTCAGTTTTCTTTCTTGGCTCCTCTTCCACTGTTTTTTCTCAAAATTTTGACATTCTAGCAACCTGGTTTAATTTAATTTTATTTACTTATTTTTTCAGACAGAGTGTCACTTTGTCAGCCTCAGTAGAGTGTCGTGGTATCACAGCTCACAGCAACCTCAAACTCTTAGGCTCAATTGATCCTCTTGCTTCAGCCTCCCAAGTAACTGGGACTACAGGCACCTGCCACAACGCCCGGCTATTTTTAGAGATGGGGTGTTGCTCTTGCTCAGGTTGATCTCGAACTTCTGACTTCAAGCAATCCAGCTACCTCAGCTTCCTAGAGTGCTAGGATTACAGGCATGAGCCACCATGCCCAGCCAGCAACCTGGTTTTTAATACCACTCATGAGAAAGGTAGCTGGTTATTTTCCAGTACTCATCCTACCATTCTTTATTAACAACAGAATCCCTATTTTTAGCTGGGTACACTGACTCCAGTCAATAGACTACATGTCTCAGTCTCTTTTGCAGCTAAGCATGGCCATGTTACTATGGTTTGGCCAATGAGATGTAAACAAAAATGTGCAGGACTTCCAACAATGTCTTCTTACACTTAGAAGGGAAAGGGTGCACCTTTCTTTCCATTTCCCTCCCCACTGTTTGGAATATGGACTATAATAAGCTGATCTTAAGACTAGAAACCAAAAACTAAGGATGACTGAGCAGCCCTGACCTGCATACCTCTGGACTTAAATTTCATGGAAAGTAAGATAAATTTCCATTGTAAGCCATTTTTTATTTCGTTATTTGCAAATGAATCTAATCTTAACTGACACATTCCCAGGTGCGGTGAAAGCTGTTTGCTTGCCTTCCTTTAGGAAATCTAGGTCCAGGTCCTTCCGCAGTAAGAGGAGAGGGCAACTGACAGAAGAAAAGCACTTCCAGGCCAGAAAATGATGGGCCTCCCTGCACAAGCTTGGTAAGTAACCAAGATCAGGAAGATAGACTGGGAAGTGGGTCTAGGAATATAGTCTATTAGCTCATAAAGAACACTGAATGCTTTATTAAGAAATTTGTACTTTGTCCTGTCAATCCCTTGCTGTTATGAGACCATGTCCGTCTTATCTAGCAATGTCTCGCACTTTGTAGATGCTCAATAAATAGCTTATTTATTAATTAATGCATTTTTTAATAAACAACGGAAATATTGGAAGGTGGACCAGTTGGGAATCAACCATCTGATCAAACTCTGCTTTTTACAGATAGAGTAACTGAAGCATCATTTACTGGAAGTGGCAATCAGCCTGCGAGGAAGTGAGAACCAAAAGTCCAACTTGGGAATGATGGAGGTAGGCGTGATGAAATTGGGGGCGGGACCCAAGAAAAGCAGTTGGGTGTGTCTCTCTGACTCTGCAACATGGCTGCCTTGAAACCAGCTGACAGGCTGGAAGCGGAGCTCCGCCCAGCTCGCCCGCCCCGCCCAGGGTCCTTTTCGGCCCCGCCCAGCGCCCATCTCAGCCCCGCCCAGCGCCCCTCTCCGCTCTTGGAGGCTCGGGTTGTGAGGTGTCTGAGCGGAGCGCCTGCGCAGTGGGCAGCGGCGCGCGGGGCGGAGGCTTATAACCACTTCGTCGCCGCTGCTGGGTTTCTGTCTCTGGGAGGGCGGCTGAGGCGGCG